TCAAAACTGCTCAACAAGACCAGTCAGGGGTCCGATAAAATCTGGTCTATGTGGAGTGTGGACAGCTGCCTGGTCACTATAAACAGTATTAACTGGCACTGGTCTGAATGGGAAAAATTATCTCCTTGTAAGTTGTATAAAGGACCAACAATTGGCCAGGTGGTCCCTGGTATGTTGCCTACTGTCACTCGTACTGGTTTGACTGTATATTGAAGTTTTACACAGTTGATTATGATTAGATATAAACAACCAACTAAGGTCATCTTTGTCTCGTTAGACAATATCATCTGATCCATATCTGATAATGTTTACATATACATAATGTTTACACACAAACTGTATATCCTGTCTGTATCACCATGTGTCCTGCTGAGTACATTACGCAATTTCAGTAAAATAGTTGAAATGAGCTGAAAACAGCTGAGTTACATGCATATGACAAATGCATACATGCCAAGCGACATGTAAAATGCTCTAAAGTTACATGAAAATTTCCACTGAGCAAAAAAATCACCACCGAGCTATAAAATCGCAACCGAGCGGTGAAAATAACTGCGTACATGTGAGTTTGATGCTGGCTTCCAAGGTAATACCAACTCGAGAGTCGTTACTCCCTGCAAGGGAGCTATAGTTACAACCTTGAAGAGGATAACCTCCTCGAATATTTATCTTGAAAGCAAAGGAACGACCTTCTCAAATACTTAAGATCTATTAACCTTTATCCGCCGGGTGACCTTCAACAGCGGACCTTTCCCAAAATATTGTATTTCATGAATAATAAATAATCTGCGGGATTGTAAAGGCCACATGAAGCATTTTCAATTCCCTGTACACATCCGGAGTGTGCATACCTAGAAGGATTTGCAAATTTGTCGTACTAGATCCGTTGATGGATAAATTTTAATCACTATAATGGACTCACACAATTGTTTATGTACTCAATATAATTATCACAACCTTTGTAACGGTTTTAGATCAAGGGCGATGAGGATATTAGTAAATTTAACGGACATCAACTGCCAAATTTCAAACCTGAACAATTTACAGGTACCGGTACATGTAAAAGACTTCTCTTTATGCAAGATGCTTGGAGGGAGTGTGTACAAAAAAAACAAAAAAAATTAGTTACCTGAACCAAACGTATTAAGATAAGAGTCTTAAGAAGCAACATTTGATAACATTATCATCATCCAATATCACCACTGCTGAATCAGAATGAGCATGGACGCCCCTATAGATGACAACTGATTACAAAGTAAAGCCAAACAAAGGAAGAGATCCAATTTAAACTGTCATGAGCTTCTCCTAGCCATGCCAAACACATGTGGTGTCTTTCATTGCTCCTTCCGAGTAACGAAATACTTCTGAATGTTCACAGTAGGCAATCATAAGTCTCCCATGACTAACAGTAGGATCTATTTTATTACACAGCAATTTAAAACGACTTGATAGTTGATTGATCAAGTCATTTTGTGTCATGTATATATAAGCAGCCGTCACAACTAACTGACTGTGTAATACACGTACCTAAAAACAATATACATGTACACTCTAATATACCAGTGGACTACTTCAGACATGTGTCAGTTTCAGAGCATTTTCCCATTAAATAACCGTACATCACTCACAATCTAAGGAAACACTTAGCTACAAAATAAACTGGATTTTCCTATCCTCTGCATCTTTTGCAATCCTATTCAACTGGTGTTATCACACAAATGTACCCAAGGATAATTTTATTTTTCTTCTCCGAAATGTCTGACTCTTCCGAGAATTGGTCCAGTTGCTAGATTTACATGTACATTTACGTACCCTGGGGGGGCTACATGCAGGTCTAGACGCTACAGGTGAGGCCTCGTGTGTCGAACCGGGCGCACGGCAAAACCGTGTCCTCAAATACAGTTCAAGGTGACAAAGCATCATGGGATACCTGATCCGCCCGCTTCTTAGAAAAACAACAAACAGTCGACTTCCCTCCGGCCATTGGCGGTTGACCTTGAGCACATTAGAGGTCAAGCTAGTAAAGACCTATCATTATGGAGCCATTGTTCCTCAAAACTGCCGAAGTGACTGTTACGCTTATTAAAGTGCAACCAAGGGAAAAACAAAATAATCCAACAGACAATAAACAAGCTAATAGAAGAGGAGAGTGCAACTTTAAGATGGCTCTTGTTGCAGCCAGGGACCTGACTTGACCAGACCTGTCAACCTGAAGTGTTAATAATCACCATGAGACCTTGGGAATACTAAGTACTATACTAGTAGTGGGCCTTCTGTTCTTGAAGCTATTATCATAGTCTTGGCTCTTCGAAGGCACTAGAATATAAGTCTAGATAGACAATGACATGTACCTGTCTGTAATACAATATACTGGTTTATAAAAAAAAAGATAAGAAAAACATTATTGTGTTTTTTGAAAGCCATCAGAATGTCAACCTTGGCTTCAGTGCACACATTAACCTTTACCACTACTGAGGGAGCAGCCAAACAATCTGACAGACAACTTACTGGTACCGGGTAACACATTATATAAGTGGGTAGATTCGTCTTCCATTGCCTAAAAAGAAGAAGTCAAACCCAGTAAAACTAGTACCATGTATGTTGTAGAATATAGTATAAGGCTAGACGTAGATATAGTCTCACATACCACTGTATTTTCTTTCTTATGTTGTTTGTAACTGCAATTAGCCCTCGGGAAACTATTTGCAATAAACTTTCTATTATAATAGAGGCAGGAGGAAAACTGTTTAAATGACTGTCTAGTTTTACTAAGAGATAATTTTGGCTGACATGATCAGATCTGATGTGTCTAACTGAAGTGTACCACTGGTAATAAATAACGTTATCAGGTAAAATGGCTTGCATATTTGCAAATGCTTGATGACATTACTGAATAATCGTACATCATATGTTTTAGATAAGAAAAGTGATAGATGTTTTCCCACAGTTGCTTGACCAGAGCTGTCAGAGTGAAGTGTTAATAATGTTATCAGGAAAGGCCAGACAGATGACCCTGACACCCCGGCACTGTTGTCATAACCTTGGGGTCAAAGGTGGCTCCTCAAGGTCAGCCAATCTGTTATAGAACACAAAAGAACTAGGCCTGATGGAAAATTTGAATTTTCCACTGGTTCCTTCAATTCCAGTATCAAAAGATGCAGATAAAGGTAAAATGCATAATGTTCTGCAATAACGAAACTAAGAAACCAAGGCAGATCTAGAGCACATCTGTAAAACATAGCAGATTAACAAAAGTGGGAAACCTAACATCTATTTTACTGATGTGATAATCTCTAGATCAGTGCTTTCATTTGTACTTAGTAGTTGCGGATAATTTGGATTGGCTCTGAAACTACCAGGTAAAAGTTTTTATAGCAAGAAGTGAGAAATGCCATCTACATGTACATGTACTTTGTTCTAACTCCTTCTATAACAGTGACATATAGACTGAATCATTTACAAAATGTCAATTAGTTTAAAATGTTCTTTGTGCTTTATAGTTGATCTACCGGTAGGTCATTATTTGCTAAATTAATGATTTTGTTAGACAGGTAATGACTAAAATTAACTCTCTGAACAGAGGTTAGACTGGAGCCTGTTTTGGATGTTATATACTAGTAGGCATTTTAATTTGTCAGCCTTTCTATATATGTCATCTTTTCCTTGGGTACTAGTACTATATACACTGGATATACACTGGTCTAACCTCTGCTTGGAGAGTACTAGACTGGTCTAACTGATCTGCTTGGAGAGTAGTTGACTGAAACTGCTTCCATTTGCTCTGGAGACATATCATTAATTTTTGCGAAATTTAGGGCAAGAACCATGTGCTTCCCTTGACGTACACTGGTGACAGATGTTATGAACAAAGAAATCTGCTGCAGAAAGAGACACAATGTTCAATCATCTTTTGAAGAAAATCTTGCAGGTCCGGACACAATTACGGTTCATTAGATACCAATTCAATTGCTGCATTCCCAAGGACAGAGTTCAATGACCCGTAGAGTTCAGTGACCTGTGTATTGGATATTATGGGATGTCATCAGTCTTCAACAGACAACCAATATACATCCAGAGTAACAATACCAGCATAGATGGCACAGTGTATATCTGAAGGACTTTGGGATTCAGATCAATCTGTTTAAAGTCTAGAACAAATGGTTCCACAGATGCAGCCGAGGTAACAGTATCTACAACCAGGGAAACATGATAGTTCAAGGACAAACAGTATCCACAAAATGAAAGATGATATCCACTTTATCTTATGAACAAACAGTATCCACATAAAGCTGTTTTATGCCCATATCTTGTAACCATGTTCATATCTTTATATCTATGTCTATCTACTTGTAATTACATGTATCTGATGGTTAAAACATGTATCTAAATAAACATTAGTTTGTTTCTTTGTTTGTTTTGCATAATTGGTAAACAGCCTATGGGCATGACAGTTTCGTATAGAGCGAACAAGCTGCAATGACTGGTACCAGACTGTAACAGTAAGACCTGAACCACTTTTGCAAGGGAAAACATGTTGAAAAGTGTTGGGTATCTTCTTCAATGTGCTTGAAGTGTGGGTCTCACCTAGACCTCCAGCTTTATATCCCAGTCATGACAACCCATTCATATTATGATAACACTTAGATATTAACTGCGATCCTATGGATAAACTACCTTAAAATAAACATTGCCTTCTAACCACTCATGGGGTCATTTGGCGTGTTTGGTTCAGGACCAAGAGGTCCTGGGTTCGAGTCCTACCCACGTCATTGATCTTGTGCCCTTGGGAAAGGCTGTTTTTACCTTCCTCCCTTCACTCAGGTGGAAATGAGTACCTAGCTTCGGTTAGGGATGTCCCTCGGATAGAACTTTAAATGGAGGTCCCGTGTTTGGGGAAAGCCACACCCCACGCATTTAAAAGAACCCACCACACTTATCGAATAGAGTAGGGGACCTTCCCGGTGTGAACCTGTAAACATCGACAAATAAAACAAACTGACCTGCGTTAAAGAGGAGTGCAGCCATCAGGTAGCTGTACTCCTTCATGTCCAGGTCCAGCACCTGGCAACGCTCCACAAAATTCTGTATCTTAGCAACCTCCGTTTCCGTGGGAACGCCATCTACCGACGCCCGCAGCCTCACGAAGATCTGGCTCTCGCGGTGGGAGGCCCTGTCGCCCTCTGGTGGCTTGGAGATGAACTGCACCCCGCCTCCTCCTGTCGGCTCGGTGGTAAAGTGCACCCGGCTCTGCGCCAGCCCCACCGTGAAGAGGTCGGACCAGCCGGAGGTCAGCAGCAGGGCGCGGTCGTGGGGACAGAGGTCAGCGTACGCCGGAAGGTTCTTAACGAAGGTGAGAGTTCTGAGCAGGACCTGGCAGGCTTGCTGGTGCGCAGAGCTGGGGTTCCTGAGTGTGACAGCGGCGGGGGAAACGTGCGAACAACAGCCACACGGACACAGCAGGCCGTGGTCGCCGCATGGGTCGCTGCCTGGGTCTACACCTGGGTCGCTGACTGGATTACATGTACGTGGGGTGTGGGGTAAACTGGGAGGAACGTCTGAGGTGGTGGGTGTGATGAGCAGGTTGTAGAGGATACTCTTCTCGAGAGAGAGGGACTTGGAGGGACAGCGGTCACACGCATCGGTCATCTCACTCAACTGGTCAGCCATGGCAGGGACGTATCACTGTGGACAGAGAATAACATGGTAAGCAAACAACATGACAGACAAGTTTGTAATGACTGCTTGTCACTGATGTTCAAAACATGTCATTGTAACAACGGAATAAAACCTTCACCTGCGTGAACTGAATACAACCCAAATGTGTATAATATATATACATTTGTACCTCGTTTGAACAGATAAAAACAAGCTTGTTGTTCAGACCTGTTCACCATCAATGTTCAACATGCAAAACTCTGAAAGCGCTTGAAAGAATAAAATGATAAGCTGGTAAAGGGGTCAGTTTTCATCAACCAAGTACATGTACTTCTTTACCAAGATCTGGAAACAACATTGTTAAAATGCAGTTATGTAGCATCCTGCTGCAACACTGCCAACACATGATAAATGGCTGTTTGCAGAAAAGCCATTCATTTGACAGGTGCACATGTTGGCATGTGAGAGGGTAAAAAATAACTGCATTGTGAATGAAAAAAATTAATCTTCCAAAGTTAAAGCTTTGCCAAATTTGGGTCAGCTTCATGATTCTTTTGAGGAAAATCCACGAGGAAAATTATTCGTCATGGAGTAGAAAGTACAATTTTTTTCAATGCTGCACCCCCCCTTATATACATGTAGGAGTCAAGTGGTACAGTCTGAACTCTGATAATGATGCAAGTTGCACTCTGCCAATAACAGGAACAGATCTATTTTTGACGTACAAAAACAGAATGTTGCAACAATTCCAAGAAAAGACCATAATCTGATCCCATGTCTATATACATGATACATGAGCTGAAACGTACACAGTATGCATACAATGTTTAGGCCCAACTAAAACCAACACTATTGACTATACTGTAGATGAGCAACACTGATTTCTGTAAATCCACCCACATACTACATGATACTGTCCTGGCAGAAAAACGCTTCAGACATCAGACATTACCAGAACAAGATAAAGGCAATAACGATTCAAGACAGCCTGGGTGCCATCCAAGATGCTAGGGGCAAAAAAGACTGGATGTCTTTTGAATTATGAATCTAAATTTTCCTCTCAAGGATTAGTGAATATGGCTATGATTCACTTCTCAGATCACATATAAAGAACCATTGAAACACACTTACAGATGAAGGCTAGCTGATAACTGTAAACGTAGCAATCATTCATCTCTCAGAGCAGTCACACATACATGGCCATACATGTATATAGAGATGATGAAAGAATGGCACCGACAAATAAAGAAATTGAATATGCTTATAGATGAAGACTTTAACTGATAACTGTGAGCTTCAAATATCATTCCTATACTCACTCACTATACTCACTCATATCCTGTAGTATAATGAATATCCAACATGCCAACATGTACATGTACATGCACTTGCCTGTGGAGGAGCAGTTCTAACCCCAGCCGACCTCCCCACACAGTTCCGAGTTCATTCAACCCAAATGAAAGTTGTCACAGCTGGTTTGCACGCCTGCCAGCGCTTTATAAACCACCCCAAAATGTATGTATGCATTTAGGTCAACACTTTATAAATGTGCAGGGACAATTAGGTACCACCAGCAGGGATGTGTGAGAAGGTCAGGGGTCATGGTGATCCGTCATGGCCACTGTGACCTTCAGCACACAAAGGTCATGTTCTATCCAGGTCTGGCTAACCAGGGCTGCTCCAACAGGACCCCTTGGTTTGCTGAGTCGTTCAGGTCAAAATCGAATAACTGAGGATACAGTCACCATGCACCATCATATTAACATTTATTGCTTTTAACCCACTTTAACATTTTTATCGCTTTAAAAGCGACCATAATGGCCTAAGAGTGTACTTTTGTACATTTTGAAGGTTATACAGAAGGTTGAAAAAATCATATAGCATTAGCCAACATATCGTTATAAATTTTAATATTTCGTCATTCCTACACGTAGCGAAGATTTTAAGGAGGATGCAGGGTCTTTCGAAATTGTCTTTCGAAACCTAAACTTTCTTCCTTGTTCTGTTGATTTAATACATTCCACATATAGGCACAGTACTTCTGTGTAGTGCATACTTCCAAACCAGAAGCCATCTGAATTCACCTTGAGAATTCTTAATCTTCAAAATGATTTGTCCCTGCTGTGATTTGTACCCCAGAGCTGCCTTGTACCTGCCCTAGGAAACATTAAAGCTAATCCCTCCATCCATCCCCTTGTCATCATGATTGATCAGATTGATAAACACCCAGGTTTCTGGAACAAACGGCCCCTAATGTCCCTTATGTTCAATACTGGAACACCTCATTGAAATGCGCATCATGGTCGGAGCCGGAATCCACTCAATATCAAGGACGTTGGGTGCCTCTAGTGACCTTGACAATCAATCTTACGCCCACAAAAACACTTCTCCGAAATCCAGGCTCTGCTAAAGAAGATTGGTTATAGCAGAGCCGGGAAGCAGCTGATGCTCTAGAACAGTAAAGAGGCTCTCCATCTAATTGTTTCAGTTAGCAAGCTCAAAATGAGCCTCCCGTGAACTGACTCTTCTATAATAGGCTCAATGAATAGTCAGAAATTGGCAAAAGCAGGGCAAATAATTTGCTACAGGAGAATTAGCCGGCCAGGGAATGGCTGCCCTTTACTGGTGAATGATTCCTATTTAGGACAATTTCTTCCCATTTATTCATCTGGCCCAGAGAGGGGACCTTCGAAGGCTTTTATCCAAAAATCAAGGCAAATGAGCACATCAATGGCACATTGTTGTTGATTATAGACACAAAGTGCAGGACCATTAGGTTGTAATCTGATACATTGTAATCTGATCTGGCCACAATGACTACTGCAATTCCTACTACTATGTTCTTAGAATCCACTCCAGAGATATGCTTGTAGGGACAGCACTGTGTGATCTGGAGAAAATAGACCCTATAGTAATCTGATCCTGACATGATGATTACTGCCTAGTCCTCCCTGTAGCCTTGCCCAAAATCTATAGAAAGCATTTTCTGCCAAGTAGGTCATAGATGGAGACTGCTAACATCATAAACATGAGCTCCAACTACATGATAATGGCTCAGTACATAATCATGTAATCACAGTGCTGCCACAATACTTTGCACAATGATCTCTAGTCTAGATTCACTGACACCCTTTATATAGACTATGTCCCTCTCTATGAATGAGAGTAAACCATGCCCCATCCTTGCCTGGACTCTACAGCACATATTTCCTGACCACACCATCCCTGCACGCAGAGTAAACACGGTTCCCACAGGCTGCCACACGGTACACAGGGTCGCAGTCTGGACCTGTCAGCTGCACAGGTAACGTCTCCTCCATCCCTGGCAGGAAGCTGGTCCCATCACCTGGAAGGAGGAGGGAAAAATCTTTAAGGAAAACACAAGACTTACCATACAGGAGATGTACGTGGAGACACACACTGGCACTGCACTTTTGTTTGGTCAGTGGCTGGAGTGACTAGTGGGCAGTGTCCTACTGACCCCTCACTCTGGCCAGATGGGCTGCTGGTCATGCGTGACACACTACACGCCCTCCCTGACAAATAAGGACAATTGCCATGGCAACACATCACCATGGAAACAACAATTGTGGGGCAGTCCATTTATGGGGGGTAGACAGGACATACTTTCTTATTTTAAAACACTGCCGATTCCTCTATATACATTTATATCAAAACATAATGTGTATAGCATGTAATATAATACAGAAAGAGCTACACAAATAATAAACACCCTGGATACCATATACCCATATACCCTGGATAACATATATCTGTCTAAAATTGCTAATGGTTATCTGATGACACATGAAGACATCATTTTGATGTCACTGGCCCCATTTTTAATGTTACTATTGTAAGGCTGTTCTATTTTTACCTCACATACATTGTACATAAGTGGCAAAGCTAGAGGCAATTGGTTGTCACTTCAAAATAACAAGGTGTCTTCAAAGGGTTTTCATTTCTCTGTGAAACACTGGGGTTTTACAAACAGATATAAGCAGGTGTTTTGAATGTTCTTTAATGTATTGGACAATTAGAGGGAGATGTTTTCTGGATGGCAGTGGAGATTACTGGTCTCTTTGTTCCCCTGTTCTCCCACTGTACAAAGCACCCACAATGGTAGCATTTACACAGGCAAATCTCAGAGCTGTAATTAACCCAGTTCTTGATGGCCCAGTTCATCAGTTCTCTGGGGAATGCTTGAAAGCACACTTAATGATCCCTGTGGAAAAAAGGTGCTGCATGTGGGTGTGTATGTGATTACTAATCTCCAGCTAAATCTTCGGGTAGCCAAGATGATTCTTAACCTCCTTGATGATATCCAACACTCAAGACAGTATCCGACCCTATACCAAAGCTTCGCACCCTATTGGATACTGTCTTGGTCATTTGGATACTGTCTTGGCTATTGGATACTGTCTTGGCTACTTATAGATCTGCCAGGAGATTATGGATTATGTGATTACAAGAAATGAACATGTAGAACAACAACACATGGAGTCCAGGCTACTGGGTGACACAGGCCAGAAATCGCAATATGTTTGACCTATTAATTCTTTTTTTTAAGGCAGGGGGTTGGTTATACCAAGGACATTATACACATCTGTGTATAATGTCCTTGGTTATACTGTTTCAGTTTAATCTGTTCTGCATTCCCAATCTTGCACACACAAATTGCTTTTTTAAAGTACATTTGATACAAGCAGTTCCAATAATATTCAATGTTCTGCCTCATTTGCAGGAAAGCATGAAATAGGTAGTCTATCAAAATGATGGTGGGACCTGAAGCAAATAACAGACTTTTCCTTAATCAGGAATGTTGTTTTGAGCTATACATATATTACATTATGATATATATTTATATATCAGTACAGGTATATAAATACATAAATGGCATGCTTTGTAACATACCATATAAAATCAATGTTCAGATTGGCTAAGCATGTATAATCATACTGTAAACAGTGTTCAAACCAATTTGACTTTAACTTTTTGGTGATCCTCAGATAATTTTAATGCTTGTCTATGTGGACAGGTGGTTACTACAGACAAGAGGTAGTATCCACCTGCCCACATAGACCAGATTCTATCAGCCCCGAGTGGTGTAAGAACAAGGAAATAGATTTGGAATGGCCTTCTCATCATGATCCGTCTTTTACACTAGATATCTGCACTGCTCCACTTCCCTGTGACAGGGTTAATGAATGGAGGCCTTTGGCCAATTTTCTCCTGATGACTTGTATGGAATTCATTTCTCAGGTAATACTCCAGCTCTCCTGGGAACTGCAGGGACAAGCATCAACTTTATTCACTTTGGCAGTTCACGTAGCGCCATGGCAGTCTTTAGAAAACAACACAATTATTCTATATACAGTACATATGTACGTCACGATGACGGCAGTATTAACATGTAGCCTGTGGTAAACAATTTTCCCTGACAGGGACTTGAAAGTTAAATTTAGCCTGGTTGCTATCTGACTTCGGCTCTTCACTCTTACTTGCCAAAAAAATCAATTTTTTGAGGAAGGGGGTGTAAGGATAAGTGCAAGCTCCCCAGTCCAAATCGGATATGGCAAATAGCCTAGCCTAAATTAGCCTCCTCCCCTGTCCACTCATAGGCCAATCAGTCCAGCAATGATGCTAGCAGTGAAATTTAGTCAGGCTAATTATTGATACTGTCTGGATCTGAGTTTATTTACACCATCTAATGTCCCAAGATGGGTGACAGTCTTTGTTTAGTCATTTTGATCATAGAATGATAACAAAATAGATTGTATCTCTGTAAATGACACAGATACATGTGCCTTGTGCAATACCATTGATGCACTGTACTAAAATACATGTACAGTATATACTGTACATATGAGAGTGTGAGTGTGTGAGTGAGTGATATGAAATGTACACTACAAATGACGTGTAGCTTTTTACATCCAGTAGTATACCAGGCTCAGGGCTGTGTTCTACTTGGATAAATTCCAACATGGTGGTGTCCTTCAAATATGATGAATGCCTTTCCCCATGTAAAGTGACCAGTGTTTAATAGCTGTTCATGCCCCAGAAACTGACCATTTTAGTCTACATGTACAACCCTCTTTGCAATGGGTCAACTAAATTTAGCCTGTCCAGCCAGTCTGGTGTGGCCCTTTCTGTAGTGTCCCACATTCTAGCAGCCCTAGAATTAGGCCAAGGCAACAACTGCCACAACATCTGTGTACAAAAGGGGCAAAAAAAAAAACTTCTAAGGCAGAATGAAATAGAAAACATCACAAGCTAGGTTTTTTTTCATGTGCATGCAACATCCTCTCTTTTGGTTCTATAGAAAAGGAAACCTAATTTCTTCCGTTTTACCACTTTTACGGTTCAGGAGGTCATTCCAGAAGGTCATCCTAGAAGTGGGTCAAGGACACTCCATTTCTACATGCAAACATCTGAAAAAAAACTGCTGGTGTTGCAGAAACGGCAGTTACTGTACTACATTTGTAGAAAAACAAGGTTCTCTGTCTTCTTCTCTCAAATCCTTGTTGGCCTGCAGCACTCAGAAACAGAAAAACAAGTTTCCTTTCATCTGTGCATAATTTCTGCAGGATCAAACACTCCCCTTCCATGTCTGTTTTTAGCCCTTAATTGATAGGTAGGCGTTGATTGCACAGCTTAAGGGTACATCTGTCCCAATTTGTAGGTAAATTAGCTGTTTTTCCGGCTTTGCATTTTAATTACATTTTCGCAGTAATCAAGGTTACATTGAGAAATGCAAGCAGTCACATTTTTGTCACTGTTGACATGCATGGAGCTAATGAATATTCATCATCACTATTCCCTTGTACCTCTTTAATATTTCTGCACATATGAACTGTCAATCCTATTTGCACTAGATGTTTTGATTGGCACACAGAGTAACAGCTTTGGATCTGTGTAATTACTGTAAATTGATGAAGCTGATTTGAGTTTGCAGAGGCATTTTGTAAGAGAGGAAAGTGGCCTTGGGGTTCACAAACTGACAATGAATTTTGCCCAATGGAAGACAGTGCACATGTTTGTAATGTGATGAGTTTGTAGTAAGAGGTCACTTTGAAAATGGTCTATAAAACCATAACAAAGATTTCACAACTTACACAACAGCATTAGTCCCATTTTGCAGGTTAGTAAGCACTGATTATATAACTGCTTGTCATGTGCTTACAGTTTTGCCAGCAAGCATTTCATTCACGACAGAGCCTAGCATTTTTCTATCACTTCCCAGTAAGTAAAAGATAAAGAAAGTATCCTCTGTATTTGCGCCGATAAGAGTTTGTCCTATTTGTTAGTGTTTTGATTGACAAACAGGCGACCAGGGTGGCCCAGTTTCCTGTCACTTGACCTATTTTGTACCCAGGGTTTAATTCATCAGCCCTGACCCACATACAGGAGAGTAAATACCACCTTCTCACACAACAACCTGGCCCTGGGACTGTTGGAAACAAGACATCATCAATAATGTTTGCATGTTTGTGTACCTTCTTCTGTTGGGGTATTGTATATGGTACATATTGTTTATCAGGAGAGTAAATACCACCTTGTCACACAACAACGTTAACCTGGCCCTGGTACTGTTGGACAGAGATGGAGAAACATCATTGATCATATTTGCCTGTCTGTTCACCTTGTCAACACTAATATATAGTAGTGCAGGCATATGCATGTGCAACTATTGGGGTATTGTACATGATGGTAAATGTACATGTATATTTGGAGAGTAAAATATACCTTCTTACATTGTATAACAACCTGGCCCTGGTACTGTTGGAAACAGATTGTAAAACAGGACGTCAAATTTGCCTGTCTGCACACCTTTCTAATGCAAATGTACTAATATTGTAGGCATACAACTGTATACATGTACACAATATATTGTATACTTGGAGAGTAAATACACCTTCCCACAACAACAACCTGGCCCTGGCACTCTTGGACACTGATTGGGAAAGAAGACATTGTGTTTGGGAATGCACTATCTGTGTAACACTGTGACAGTAAACCCATCATCACAAATGCTATAATTTAAATTCATTTTATTACTGAATTGTGCTGCTTGTTCAATGAGCTATGCAATGTTGGTGCAATGTACCCTAGGTAGTGGTGTATTAATCACATCCAGTACAATTACAAATGTACATATCTCCAAATGTTGTTTGAAATCAATACAGAGGCTCATGCCATATTTAATAACAAATAAATAGCTGATTGATATATGTTTATTAGTTTTTTTTTTCCATGAAAAAAAATTATATGCAAACCATGCTTTTATCTTAAATTACAGACCTTGGCTTAGCATTCATAGAACTTAGTTGTAACTTACCGAGTAATACATTGTAGTTGTCATATATATACTAAGTACTGAATAATACTAGTTGTTGTAACTTACTGAGTGATGCCAAGAACTCTGACTGGAAGGGAACAAGGCTGAGAACCGGGGACTCCGACAGTTGTACCAACTGGACAGGCTGTCTGCAGACATATATAATAACACACATCGTCATGGTAATTTACATTACATATTGTACAGTAACTCTAGTTCTCTAGGTGCTGTCACTGTTAAACTAGTCATTCCTTGAATTACTATTGTTTACTGTTTACTACCCCTGCCTCGTTTGTTTTGGATCATTATGAAATCTCTGTATTCCTCTGGTCATATGGTGCATGTGGACTGGACAATTTTGTCCCAGGCACAATATATAAACTTCCATACCTCCATTTGTACATTCAGCCCGTCCATGCAAAGTTGGTTATGCTAAGTATTTTAGTGAATCTTGTTGCTGGTAACAGTAGGACAGACATAGTAAGACTGACCTGGTGTCTCGGATGTCCAGCTCGTAGATTTTGCCGTCCTGACCGCCGCACACAATGCGGACAGACGACAGGAAACAGCAACAGTTCAGCGCAGCGGACGCAGCAAACTGGAAAACCTGCAGGGTGGAAAAACACAGGCATTGGTGGCTTAATTAATATTTTTTTTTATATAAAAGAACCTTAAAATGAACATCAGACTTGGTAAGTAAGAGAGAGTAATATAAGAGTCTTCTATCTTGCCATTTCTTTACAGTTTACTAGGTACATGTACATGTAGCTGGTGTGTTATGCTGAAGGGCGATAATACTGGCTATACCAATACAGATACAGTTGTAGTTAACTGGGTAGGGAAAACTTCTGGGAAGTCCTGGTGGAGTGGAAGCAAATTAACAGCCAGAAACTGAAAGCTGCTGTATCAACCTTCAAGTATAGATAGCATGCATGGCAAGTTGCAATGGAGGTCAAACTTCTTTTATAATCATATTCTCAAAATTATTTGCATAATGTTCCAACACTGCAAAAACTAGATGATGATGATATATAATTTTTTTACATATTTTTAGTCCCTTAGTATTTTTCTTTGACCGAACAAATCATAATGAAGACTTACAGGTTTTCTACTCTGTACACCGAAGGCTCTGAGTACTCCATCTTCACATGCGAGCAGCAGCAGCTTCCCTTCTGTCAGCACTTCTCTGTCAGCTGAGGAACACACAAAGTAAGAACACATGTCACTGACAAGGATGTTTGTTATAATAACACTTCTCATGTTTCTGGTGTTACGCATCAAATTGAAATGGAACACCCAGAAAACCCAGGAAATAGAAATATTGTGATATTTTAGTATTAAATGTTGTCATAATAACATTTCTCATGTAACTGGTATTACTCTTCAAATTGAAAGTGAACACCCAGAAAACTCAGGAAATAGAAATATTGTGATATTCTAGTATTAAATGTTGCCATAATAACATTTCTCATGTATCTGGTATTACACTTCAAATAGAAACTGAACACCCAGAAAACTCAGGAAGTAGAAATATTGTGATATTTTAGTATGAAATGTTGTAATAATAAGTTCTTAAATCTTATGTATCTAGTATTATGCATCTGATGTAAAGTGAGCACCCAGAGAATTGAGAAGCAGAATTGACTGCATAAGCAAAGTGGGAAGGCTATGAGATATAAGAAAGAACACTCATGAGGCATCCATGGGGAAAAGCAACAATGAAATAGATCAGTATTTTGGTCCCAACATCCAGACTATTGTAAAGCTGTGCTTAACCAAAATCAGATTTATAATTTTCATGGACAACATTAGCCAAAAATAAATCAGTAAAAACAATACAACTTACAGGGAGTTTCATCAGGTTCCCCCAGGTTGATGGAGTTATCGGGAACTCCGACGGCGCATCCGTTCACGGGACCACCACAGTCTGAGAAAGTCCCCAGGCAGCTGGCCGACCCACAATCCCACAGCTTCGCGGTTCCATCCCGCGAACACGACACGATGTTCCGCCCGCGCTCAATCACTGCTGTGTCCAGAATTCCTGTTGAGAGTAAAGTTAGTTATCACTCTCTGTGATCTGTATCTGTATAGCTGCCCTTCGGCGTAACACACCAGCTTTGCAGGCACACGGCATGGCAGCAGCTGGCTACACTACATTAAACTACTTAGTGTAGATGGATGAATTTTCATGAAAACCTTCTAAGCAGCGGTGGTGAAGACATAAACTCTCTGTGAAGTCTTTGATTGAAGGTAGCATGGGAGAAATCCAAAATCACATGGCCTTTTTATGATGGCAATAGAGGCAAAATCACATAGGTCTACATGACTGTCTTAAACTGAAAGAAATGTCTAAAACTGAAACTGAGAGAAACATCTCAAACTGATCCGAAACTTCTCAAAACTGAAACTTTATAAACTGACAGAAACTTCTTAAACTAACAGTCACATCTCAAACCTAACAGAAACATCTTGAACAAACAGAAACTTCTAAAACTGACAGAAACTTCTCAAATTGAGAGAAACTGACCTCCCTTGTGCCCCCTTAATGTGACCGGGCAGCTGCCGTCCTCAGCTGACCAGATCTTCAGCTGTGAGTCCATCCCACCGCTCAGGACCACAACTCCCGACGGGAAGAACTGGCAGGTGTTCACCTCACCTATGTGGCCTTGGAGTTCCCTCTGCAACTCATAAAACAGACATTATCATCCACAGAGCCTTAACCTTACCTATGTACCCTTGGGGTTTTCTCTACGACACATCAATCACAAATTATCAGCCAAAAGTCTTCAATTCCACTAAAGCTTGATGTCCTTGCAGCTCCCTCTGCAACATCTAAAACAGATATTATCAACCAGCAGGTGTTCAACTTGCCTGGTGCCCTTGGAGTTCCCTCTGGAACATTTGTTAAATGTCATCAACCAACGAATCAACATCATCTACGTAGTTTACTAGCGCCTCCTGTACATAAGGACTGGTACTGCAGGCTGCAAAGTACTAGTAACTTTTTGTTTTCAAACTTCAAATTTTGCAACCTACTTAACTTTACTGCAGCTCATCCTGCATTGTTCTTGACCTGACTGAAACCAAAAATGGATTTGGTCAAACAGTTAACTCAGCTTTCAGTGATGAATCTGTGCTATAGTAAGCTAGTTAATAAGTTTGAAAAAGTAAACCTGGCTTAGCCTGACTATTCTGTTGGCAGCCTCCCAGACCTTCATGGCTTTATAAATTATGTAGTACCAGAGTTAATGAACTGGACACTAGTTAATAAGTTAGTAAATAAGTTAGTAACAGCAAACCCGGCTCACCCTAACTGTCCCATTGGCAGCCTCCCAGACCTTACTGGTTCCATATGTAATACCAGATTTAATAAAGTGGAGAGTCTGGTTAATGAGTTAATTACTTAGCTAGTTAATAAGTTAATAACCCCGGCTTACCCTGACTATCCCATTGGCAGCCTCCCAGACCTTCATGGTTCCATCTGTGCTGCAGGAAACACCCAGGCCTCCACCAGAGGAGACGTCAAGACATGACACCTGTGTGTACAAACAATAAACAAACCGATACAAAACTGTATATGGACATAAAGTTAAAAGCAACAAGTCCTAAAACTTCAGTTTAAAGGGAGTTCAGTTTCATAGATGTCAACTAGAAAGAAGAATACTAGAATTAATTGATCATGAAGAGATCACAACTTCTTCCTATCATAGGCTTACCATTTTGCTGTGAACCTTCTGGAAGACAGCAGTGGGGGCCACAAACTTGGCACCACAGTTTTCACCTGGACAGGACACCACTATGAACCGCTGGAGGGGTACATGGAACAAAACGAACCTTAGTTTGTACACTTATAAAAAGTTACATGGTGTACTGGACCAAAGATGGATTAAAGAGGGGATCAAACAATTCCTAGTCTTTCTGCAATCTTTTGTTCATATACACATGCAGCTAAAAAAAGTAGCCTGATTAACCATCAGCTATTACTGTGAGAAAGCCTTAGCCAGAGGTCTACAACAGATAGTTTTTTTCGGCCAACAAACACTGTGGTGAACCCCTACACTTGGAAAGTTCTCTTCGTGGGTTATACTTGAACTTTATACTTGAACTTTATTCATCAAAACAACATTGCAGGCTGAAACAGCCTTAATTGTGTTGTAAATCACATGTACATTCACATTAACATTGTAATATTTTAGCGTTAAAAGATTAAGTGTTAAAAGAAGTATATTCGATAATGACGAATTGTATAAAATATCGATAACACATTAAAATATAGACAATAATTGAGTGGAACTCAAAATGTTCGAGGTGTGACTCTCCTGGAACACAGTACCCACCTTGGTGACCTCCCCGACCTGGAATCCTTCTGATGCAGTAACATAGACAGAACCGTCGTTAGACATGCCCATGGACTTCAGCTCCCCTTGGACACTGGGCTGGCCTAGCATGGGGAGGGGGGCATTAATTACTATAGTATGACATTTCCAAAACTAAGTAATACACCAGCAGTAAGTTTACTCTATTACAGATTACAAGGAATGTGATGATAATGGTTATCTAGTCTTAGGAAGAACAAATTTCTGATGCACGTTAATCTACATTGATCTGATATCCCTTAAGTTAAGGCTAAATTTGAGTAGAACAACTGGTTCTAGACTCACCCAGCCTTTTACAGCTCAGCCAAGCCTGCCCATCATTCTCCCTGAACAAACAAAGCCGTGGTTACAGTACAAGTGATATCACGTACGTGTCAAAACTTACTTTGTGTGGAAATGGTCATTCATAAAAATTTCTGGGAGTGGGACCAACCAGGTTCAACACACAAAATGTGAGCTTTTGAGCAAAAATAACAGTATCCTGGCAACTTCTGTGACCCTTTTGCCGATAAAAAGTTTGCATGTAACGTTATATCAGATCTGATTAAACCTGATTCTTGCAGAAAAAGAAGTTTCCAGAGTTCTGTTTTTAAAATTATTTGTTTAGTTTTGAAGGAGGGGGAGGGGCAAATTCAAGTGTGGATAGCCGCCGATATTTGTCACTCCTAACTGTTAGGTGGGTCTAAGAACTTCTTCAGTTTTTGCATCATTGTGCTAAATTGTAATTTTGTTATCTTGGCAGTGATATAGAAGTGGGTTAGCCGCGTTTTTACCTCAAAGCGTCCAGCCAGTCACTTTGCAAAATCATTCTCACCGCCATGTTGTCACCTGGAGTGACGTCACTTCCGTCACACTCCAGCATCCGACCTAACACCGAACTGAGCTGCTGCGGAATGCGGAAGTGCAGACTGCAAAGGCAATATCCAAATTATATCATCGTGGAATTAGGTAGGAAAACATGGTTCAAATCTGTTTTATAGGCAAGCATTAGGATGAAAGTGCTTCAGAAAAGTTTCTTTTGTAGTTTGGAAGTTACAATTTGTAGTGGTAAGGGCCGACTGCACCGTTATTATACCGGTTAAAGAGGGGGGGGGGCGTAAATAATTATAGAGAAAGTAGAAAACTATGCAGATAAAAAAAAAATAGGTCACAGCCGTTACACAGTTACAGTGTTAAGATGGGGACCATTCAAACTCATACTATTCGTTCAGTAATTAGTTGAAAAATTTCATCTTGCCATCTTTGTTGAGAGATTAATCACAGAAGAAATGTTTGCAGGACTTGACCAGTTTCAAGATGTTTTTTAAAAAAGTACTGCTTTACCTGGTGTGTAAATTATGCTTTAGGACTGCAGTACTATACTGGCTGACCAGATAGATACATATTGTTGAGCTGTCAAGGAGAGAGAGGAAGTATAGGAAATGACATGCATGTATGATAAACCATATTATTAACCATCTGTCACATATGTCTCATAATACCTGTCACCCAATCTAATGTTTACCTTTTTCCCACCTTGTTGCAAATTAATTTTCCCCATCAGCAGGAGACGGTGTAGACCTCAGTCATCATGTCTGGTCGGAGTATAGTGGAGTGGTTTGCAGAACATGAGGCGTATCGCTGCGGATACTGTGGGACCTCAGACACCAACTTTTCCCACGGTAGGCACAGATACGTAGTCTCAGTGTTAAGAAATTACATGTTCATTCCAATGACATCATTGAAAACTTCTCTATGCATCCAAGAACAAATTGTAGAGTATCCAACATTGTGCTCTGGAACAAAGAAAAAATGCTTACTGAAACAAACTTTCCTTTTGCAATCTCTTTTATTACCCCAGCTATGAGTATGAATAATTTTTCAAGCTTAGCAGAGCAAAATCCAGATAATATCCACTACCCAGGCTACTCTTTTAGACATAAATATGTAGGCACATGCATGAGGTAAGGTTTAGTACAAGTAACTCAGGGGTTACTGACCTTACGGTTATTGACCCTGCCTGTTGTGTGTTGCAGGTATGTGGGCCCACACCATGACCTGTCAGGACTACCAGGACTTGATTGACAGGGGCTGGAGAAGGTTTGCACCAATCATAGCTCAGTATTCTGGAGTTAGGATCATACTCATAGATATCAATTTTGTTTTGAAGTTTTCAACGGTAGTGTACATTCATGTTTCCTCTTTTTCATGTACTGTTTGATTGTATCTTCCCAGCACCTTAACTGGTGTATTTAGAACTTATCACTTGCTGATTGTACAAAGCTTAAGGACTTTTTACAAATCTGTTGCAGGAGTGGGAAGTATGTGTACAAACCAACCATGAACCAAACATGCTGCCCACAGTACACTATCAAGTAAGTCAACCCAGAATCATCAACTTCTAATAACAAATAGTCATTAGTATCCTGTTAGGGATCAGCGTGTAAAACTTAATTTATTTCTTTGATGTATGTAGTATATTAACCTTCTGCACACTACAGTACTCCACATAACATACTGATATTTATATGAACAACAGAACAATTGTTACAGCAGGTTGAAGGTTAAACTATGTGACTTAAGACGTTCTGTCCTGTCCTTCAGGTGTGCAGCTCTCCAGTACCGTCCCAGCCGGTCTCAGAAGAAGGTGATCAAAAAGGTGGCCAAACTGCTGGTTAATCCTCCAACAGGTTAGTTAGCCTTAAGCTTGTAGTTAAGTTAGTGATTTCAATAATCAAGTTTTCCAGAGCATGATGTAGCAGTTATCTAATACTAGTAATCCCTTTACTATCTAATGCTCCAGAGAAAACCTACAGACACATGGTTAACTAGTGGGAAATAGTAGCAATATTATGACTACATACATTTTGATAAGAAAGTTAATATTTTAAAAATTTCAACAATTCATTATTGAATAAAAGGACAAATCAGGAAGAATTCAGATGTTTAAGTAAGCTTAAAAGGTTTTGACAAGTTTTCTTCATCAGGCAGTGAAGGTGGAAAGCTGAGTATTGTTCCTAATTATGTACCCTTTACTTCATCAGGCAATGAATCTTTGAGGCTAGGTGGTGCTTCTTACTCAATATTCCTTTCACTTCATTAGGCAGTAAACCAGGGGAGCAAGGTGGTTCTGACTCACAGGGACCCAGCATGGTAGAAGACGTCCCCGACAAGCAGCCTTCAAACATCAACGTCCCCCAGGTGTCGTCAGATGCACAACAGGTGTCTTCAGATGTGCAACAGGTGTCAGCAGGTGCAGCACAGGTGAAAAAGTCAGGGTCAAGTCATGAAAGTCAAGGTGATGTGAAGGAAGGCGGTGCCTCGTGTGAAGTGGACAAGCCATCTTCAAGCAACAAAGTACCACGGGCAGGTACATGTATGCAGGGATACTCCACCCCCCCACCCCCACCCCCATCAAACTTACAATACCGGATAGTGTCTAAAGACAACTACAGTCAAACTGATGATTACAAGTTAGAATGACAAACAATTAATATCCTCATCAATACTAAAAATGCATTATCTAATCATCTATTCAGTCAATTTCACTAAGTACACAATGGCTTTAGTATACAAAATGAGAAAAAGGTAGATGTCTAGAGTACATGTACAATATATAGTACAATGTATATTAGTATCAGCTAGAGGGATGTGCAAACAAAAGAGGGTAAATTTTGGCTTTAGAGATTACAATCATGATTTGGTTGTACAGTAATTGTCGGACTTTTGCTGTTTCAGTGTTTAGAATGTCTCAGTTCACAAGTGTGCATCTATACTTCCAGGGGAAGGTCCAGACCCCTCCAAGCCTCCCTGTAAGAAAGCAAAGTTCTTAAGGAAACAGAGAAAACAGGAAAAAGAAGCCTTGAGACAATCAGCAGAGGTGGGGAAATCTTATTTCTCTGATTGTAAAATCTTGTCTGTGTTTTGGTAAAGTTGGCCCAGTACATTGGAAATGATATACAGACATAACCTTTCATTTTCACTGTCTCATACATTTATAAAATTTAATGTTTCTGTTAAACTTTTATTTGTACTCAGACTGCACAGAACCTGCCATGGAAGAAAGAACGTAAAGAAGACACCCAGAAGTCACTTGAAGACTTTCTTAAAGATGAAGCCTTGTCTAGGTTGGAGGTCAGTGTTTCATCATACATGTATTTGTTAATGATATAATGTGCCTTAAGAAATGAGTTGATGTTAAGTTTGGCTCCCTCCATAGTGGCCTTTAAAATTTGACTCAAAGGTATCCAGAAGTTTAAAGAGACTGGTGATGATAGTGCTAGTAGAACACTTGTTAATAACTGCTTTCAAATTGTTTCCAACTGTTTGTGGCCCCCCTCATACCTGTCTTCCCTCCCCACAGATGAGGCTAGTCCGGAGTGAACCTAATAGTGAGGAGTTTAGCCGGACGAGGATGGAGTCTTACGAGCTGTATAAAAAGTACCAGATAGCCATACACAAGGATGAGCCTGACAAGTGTACAATGAAGCAGGTAACAGATCTTTTATGTTTCTTTATCTATTAATTGGTTTGAGGGGAATGAAAGGTTGATCTTTGAATTGTAGCCATAGACACTCTATCTTTACTATTACGTTTATGGCAACAAAGAAAGTATAGAACATGTACATGTATGTGCGCATGAAGATCAGTGTTTCACCAGATGTAACAAAAAGACAATAGATATTAAGAATAGAGTTTCTAACCTTTTCTTTGTGTGTTTCAGTGGACCAGGTTTCTAGTGGACTCTCCCCTACAGGTAAAACATTCATCTGCCTATATGATATAATGTATCAATTTTAATTTACATTTACCAAAGTTCTAAATGATGTACCAGTATTTCTTGTCCACATCTTGTTATAAAGGCAACGTCTAATACAATATCCTTCCATTCCCTTTGTAGGAAGAGCACAAGCCTGGCCTCCCTGCATGTGGGAATGGTTCGTTCCACCAGCAGTACTGGTTGGATGGGAAGCTGATAGCAGTAGGAGTGTTGGACATCCTGCCGAGCTGTGTGTCATCTGTGTACCTGTACTACGACCCTGACTATCACTATCTGTCCCTCGGCACGTACTCAGCACTCAGGTGAGTCTAGATCTGTATACCTAACTATCTGCCAAGTGTACAGGTAACTCTACCTGTTCGTTCACTACTCTGAACTTACATGTAGGTTGTTGTCAGTCTTACATGTATGTACATATCGGCCTGGGTCTTAAATAGCACGTCTTTGAACATGTGCCCAAAATGTATGTACACAGATACTGGAATTATTCTCATCAATGATGAACTATATTCCACAGCTAGCTGTTGTGATTACATGTATGTTCTCAGCATCATTGTAGCTTCTGCATGACCTGTCCCTATCTTTGCTCTATCAACATGGCTGTTTCTATGTGGATGTATATTGTATGTTAATACATAACATGCAGACACAGTATTTGATTCTTCTGTGTTTGTTTCCAGGGAAATCTCCCTGACCAGGCAGCTGCATGAGACGGCTCCCAGGCTGGAGTATTACTACATGGGCTTCTACATCCACACCTGTCCCAAGATGAAGTACAAGGTAATGTGCCATTATATTCATCCTTAGATCTGAAAACATTGTTCAATGGCTGTAATACGTCACACCGAGAAAACAAGGCCCTTGTGCCACAATCACATTCGTTGTAGGTCATTGTACAATTTTGATGCCATAGAGTTGTCAGGCAGACTATGGCAGAACAAACAGCTACATTTAGGATCTAAGACAGCTGAATTTCGCAGGACACATGCATCATCCCAAGGATGCCTTCAGTTTGCAATCATGAGACAGTTGCATGGTGTATGTGACCAGGCCCTAACCCATATTGCATTTGCAACCCTTCAAGACACACTGAGGATATATGGCAATGCTGCAGTGTATGTTAGAGAAAAAAAAATCACTAAAACACACACAGGTAGATGGACACAAAAACACACACATGTACAGAAGAGCCAAAAGACCATGTACAGGAATGTGTTTTTCTGGTTGCCAGGGTAACTACGACTCGTCCTTCCTGCTGTGTCCTGAGGTGTACTCCTGGGTTCCTGTGGAGAAGTGTCGTCCTAAACTGGACGCCAGTAACTACGCCAGGCTGGAGGATCCTGGGAAAGGTACTGCACATCCAACAATAAACACTTCTCAAGTTACAGGCAGAATCGCGGAAACCCTTGGCTACTTTTTTATTTCTTGTGTCTTTCCAAGAGTGTTCCTATCATTTTCAACTGATGACTAGATTACAGTTGCATCATTTCTTTCTTGCTGTGGCTTGCTTTATGATGGTCCATTTGGAAAATTGATAAGATTTGGATTTTCTGTGTTTCCAAAGTAACAAGAGTGTTCCCATCCTTTTCCAGCTGATGAGAACGGTAACATTGACGTGAACCGCGTCCTGGTGCTGTACGAGCAGCAGCTCATGCCATACGCGATCTACCGGGCGATAACGGGCGGCAGCGACGAGGACGATGTCAGGTTATACGCCACGCTTGCTGGTAGGACGTGTGCGGAGAGAATCATCCTCTTCAGGAATTAGAAATGTACACATGCAAGTCTTATGGTTTATATACTAGTAATAGTAAGGAAACTTGGTGAGCAAATCTTACTGTTCAGTACATGCACAAACATTCAGTCTATGTTGATGTGCGCAGAATGGATCATTCTGGAAAAATTTGTGGATCATTCTCTTCAGGAATTTAGATGTACGATGTATGTACACACTACACATGCAAGTCTTTATAATGGTTAGCAAGGCCAACTTGGTGATCAATTCTTACAGATCAGTTGATGTACAAACACTGTTGTATTCAGCCTGATGTGTGCAGAAAGGAGAATTCTCTTCAGGAATTAGAGAAATCTTTATTGACACAACAAGCTTAAAAGTACAGTGACTTATCAGAAGGTCTTCTATAGCTACACCTATGAGCAAACAAGTGGGTGCAAATGAACTTATGTATAGACATGTGTGGATACAAATGTCAGCATTGAACTTACATACATTCAAGTGTATGGATCAATTAACATGTTGAGTTAAAGTATCATTTTCAATTCTGGTTCTAAGGTCTAAACATGTATTGTTTCATGTCCATGTATTTGTACCTGCATGAGCAAATCTTAGGATTAGTAAAGAATCTTGGTGATCAAATCTTACAGTTCAGTAGATGTACAGACTGAGACACTTGTATCCACTCCACAGGGATGTGTACAGAAAATTTGTAAAGTTACAGACAAGGCAGTCCACTTATAGCAACAAGGCAAATACAAAGTCAACAAGCAAACCTGGTGATGAAATATTTTTAAAGGCTTGTACAACAAACATAGCCATAGACACCAGGCATGTGACATGGACATCTTACTTTGACACTGACTGTGAAGCTGAGAATTTAGTGCATAATAATAGTGAATGTTAAAATGATTATCAAACTTTTCCTGGATCTCCCATACAGAATGTTGGGGGACAACCAACATCTATTTATTATGTATAAGCTTTATATATTAATTTTGTAGAATTATGACAGCTTCCAATTTAAGCTGCAATGTTTAGAATGCATCAGGTTTGTTGCGTGAGAAACTGTTTCTGTCCTTGTTTCTTACACATGCTGTGCCTGTGGTTAGAATAAATCTTCTGATAGAGGCTCAAGCCACAAGTTATTGTTCATAACCATTGCTATTAGCACTGTATTAGAGCTAATTTATAGCTAACCAGTCAATGTTATGACAACATAACCTGGGCCATCATTTGCACCACTCTCTCCAGTGGGCTCGCCACCTGAGTTGAACGAACCGCCTCCCCCTCCACAATGCCCAGAACTATCATCTCCTCTTCCCCCTCCAGAGTAGCCCCCACCACCTCCTCCTCCACCACCTCCCCCACCATACCCTCCCCC